TTTCTCATCTCTTTTTTTTCGAGGTGTTGCCCCAAAATTATGTGCGCTTTTTTTGGGGGCTGGTTGGCAAGCGCAGTCGGGCATCCCTGACTTTTTCTTTGCTTATTTTGACAGCGTTCAATGCTGCCAAAAATAAATTATTTTTAAATTATTTTTCACAGAAAATAACAACAGCAACAGCAGAAATGCAAAAATTCAGGCAAAAATTGCCAGCTTTATTAATAAAATATGTGTGAGCTGCATTATGGCAGAGAAGAAAGGGAAGTGATTGTTTAAAAATACCTTTTTGATACAATTTTAATTAAATTCAATAAGCAGTTCTACTATATGCTGGACGTTAGTTTGGCTAGGTGTGTAGATATAAATCCCATATTTCCTCATGCTTGCTAAAGAATTGAAAATTAGCAACTAATGGGCACTAAAATGAAACAAAGTCTACTTAGTCTGCAGTGCCAAGTGAGGGGAATTAAAAAAATAATTAAAATTTTCCTTTTCTTGCTAATGCGTAGGAGTTCATGTGTTGTCGGTTACTTCTTTTGTTAAGTAAAGATTTGCTTTCTAATATTTTTAGTTTGCTGACTTTTGCAGCTAAATATTTAAACGGATATTCATTTTAATATTGAGACGGAAAAGTTGATAGCTTATGGTGTTGATTTAGTGCAAGTTTATGTTACAGTACAATAATTTAAGTCTATGTTATTAACCCTTTCCATTCGCATGATTCAGCAACATATTGAAACAGATTTATATTTTCCAAAAATCATACGCATTTTTTTTGTTTACATAATTTATTAAACTAGTTTTCTACTACCAATATGGCAGCTTAAGCTAGTTGAAAGTTAGGGAATACAAAAGTTGTCTATAGTAAGCATCTATAGGACGCACTTACATCTATATATATACAATATTTACAATGTTTTACATGCAAAATGAAATTATATTTTATGATATATAGTATATTATATATTTTATACAAGGGATCTTGTGGGGAGATCCTTTGGATGGCACTTCTTCAGTCTTCTCTTCTTAGGTTTGGACAGGAGCCGACTCGCTAGTGCGTTAGGGTGGCTGCCGAGTCGCTTCTCGTAAAATGTATATTTAAATTCGCTCAAATAACTTCGAAACTTAGAAATTTTAAAAGACAGATTTTTTCGACTGATACCAAGTTGTTTTAAAACATTACCTAGAAGCTATTGAAACATTACTTAAAATACAAAACATAAATTTACATAAAGATCTGCATATTTTCACTGAATATTAGTTTAAGCATTGCAACAATTATTATTTGAAAATTAAGATAATATATATCATATATATCATATATATATATATATATATATATATATATATATATATATATATATATATATATATATATATATATATATATATATATATATATATAATAACATACGTGTAAAACAATAATAACATGGTAAAGAAGAGCCTTTTTAATTTAAAAATGGTTCGATGCAGTTTGATGCAGTTTTGAATTTTATTATTTGAAAATTTTTAAAAGCCTTCATTATTTATGAGCGAACAACAAATTGAATGTATCAATGATTTGATACACATTATTAAAATAAATTCCAAAACATACAATAATGAGCAACAAGATGTTTACAATAAATAATAATTGTATTGATATTTTTAACATTCTAAATTAAAATGGATCTTGATGGCCAGTTAGTAGTTCATGTGAGACAAATACCTATGGATAATTATTTTAATTGCGACATAGAGCGTCATTGAATTCAACGAAAACTGTGATCGGCAACGAGCTGAAATTAAATAACAACTCCCCGGTGGCAGTGGCTGCCTGCTTCCTTTTGCTTTGAGAGATATGCAAATTTTAAACAAAGTATTTGTTATAAATCATAATAAGAGAAACAAAAATATTTTTAAAATAACAAAATGCGTGGGCGTCCACTTGCTCAGTCGCACTCATAACGTTTACATTAAAATTATAAAAACAAGCGTGGGCAAAAAATTTCAAAAGAAAAAAATGTTCGCATATGAATTAACTGAAATAAGCATAAAAGTAGGCAACACTTTTTTCGCCATGTTATTATTGGCATAGCGGGCACTAGCGTGAACGTTTGGGTGTGAGTGGGTGATGGGTCATATGTGTGTGTGTGTGTCTGTGTGTGCTTGTAGCGTGAAAATGTTGCAGCCTTTTAGGCGCTGAAACGCCCCACATACGCATAATGCATTATGTTCCTTTTTTCAGTAATATTTTCAAAGGCAAGTTCTTTTTTAGTTATATTTGAACGCATATAATTTTTTATTGCATTTTTTTCACAGCACTTTTCAACTTTTTGCACTTGTGGTTGTGTAAGCACTAACACAATTAAACATACATAGATGGGGACAGGCAGGCACGCACACACGGCCAAGGGGCATGCTCACACTATCAATTAGCGAAATTACATACAAAAAAGCCAGCGCAAAATGTTTGCCAACACAAAAAAAAAATTGCAGGGAAAATAGAAAAATTGCAAAAATTTGTACGCGAACACACTTATGCACACGCACACACAGCAGAAAGAGAGGATGAAAATGTGCATATATGTGGTTTTTATATACATGTGCTTGCAACTCTCTATATATGTATGTATGTGCGAGTATATGTGTGTGCGCTCTACGTTATTCCCCTCATTTAATTAACAATAAAAATAGGCTAAAAAGTCTAAAAAAGCACAACAGCAAGCGATTATGCACACATACATACACACACACATACACGCCCACATGCGGCCCACACATGTATGTACAGACATATGAACATATATGCAAACGTGCCATTTGTTAAACAATTTTAACACGCATCGTACGGCGCCTCCAAGTAGGCGACGCTTTAGTGTGAAATTGCGCATTTCACGCTCAACCCACGCTAAAATGTGCGTGGGCAGCACAACCACAGCCACACATTCACACACACACACACACACAGAGATAAACGAACACAAACGGCGAACGACACACGTAGACTGCTGGCTGGCTGGCTGGCTGGCAAGCAGGCATTAAAATTTGATCCGATATAATGCATGAATTATGTAAACTATTTTTATTTTTGTTTTGGTTTTATTATTTTGCAATGTTTTTTTTTCCGTTTTGCAATTCTTTCTCCGCTAGTTGTTTTTGTTTTTATTATTTTTATTGCATTTCTTTTGCATTCTTCTGCCACGGTATTGGTGTTTGCTCGCATTGCCCCTGCATATGAATTGGCATCTGTTCGTGTGCGTGTGTGTGTGCGTCTGAGTTTGAGTTAGTGTGTTAGTGTGCGTGCGGCCTTTGGCATTAGCATTTGGTTAACATATCGCCCTTTTTGGCCATACAATACTCATTTTATTGCTATTTTTAGCGGTTAGCAACATCCACGCATTCAATTCAATCTCCACTTCCGCCGCTCGCTCGCTCTACATAGCGCCCTCTCGCTCGCACACCTTGCCTTGTTTATTTTTTATTTGATTATACATCATTTTTATTATATACATATATATATATATATATATGTGCCGTATAGTCCTATTTATGCACTCGCCCAGTGCATTCAAGTGTTTTGTTTTGTTTTCCATGTTTTTTGGCATTTCATATTTTTAGCTAGGCTGTTGTTATTCTTCCCACTTTGTCAACTTACACATATAACTTATATTGAATATACATATATATATATAAATATATATATTTTATGGCACTGTGTATTTTGCGATTCGATTAAAATAATAATCATGTAAATATGTTAATGGGAATTTATACATTTTCAGATTATTTTCTTTGCTTAAAAATACAATATTTAGTACAAATTTAATACAAATAAACCCTTTAGGGAAAAAGAGGTAATTGTATGAAAAATAGAAACAAATTTAAAGCTGCAAGATTATTTTTTTAGTTGAATTGATAGTTTAATGTATTGAGATTTACAATTGCTGTAGAATAATTCTGCGTCTGTCACCCACTTACACTGAATAATTGTTGAGATGCAGTCGTGATCGAACGTCTGAATAAAGGAGACGTGCTTTTGAAATCGTGCTCTGTGTTATATAGTGAGTGTCATTTGTCTCCCAAACTAAGTGTTTTGTGCTTTAACCTTAAAATCAATCTGTATATTTCGCGCAGAAAACTAGAACAATTTTCTACTAATTAATGGTTTTCCTTTACAACAAATCTACGAAATTGTGTGTAAGCTACTTGCATATCAGATCGGAGCTTAAGACATTTTCATCATGATAATCATTTATACTTCTATATTAGCGGCATTCTAGTCTGATTTACTTCCTCTAAGAGTTTTACTTTTTGAGATGCCGATACCAATTCCCTTAAATCTGTTGTATATTCTCGACAAAGCCTGTCTGGCAATATTTTGTATAGATGTCCCTAGCAGTTTATTAATATTATTATTCCCCAACTTGCTTCCCACGGCCTGCAATAGAGTGGCTTGCTCCTAATGAAGTTTAAATTCATTCAACACAGTACTTAATTAAATTAAAGCAAGCTCGCCTCTCTTCTTCAGCTTTTACTTGTCAGTCAGTTTTTTTTTTTTTTGCCTAATTTAAGGTTGTTATTAATATTGACTTGATATTCAGAAGTCATCCAGCGCCTTACATATTTTTTAAAGCTCTAACATATTAATTTTAAAAACATACATTACAAGTATTTAAATAAATCTTCACTTCTAACAAGCGCTTACATTATCTTAAATTGGTAAGTTTTTCTTTACATTTTTAAAAGAAAACTGAAACCCTTTGACGACAGCGTTCTCATCTTAGTTTTGTTAGCCTTTTGCACTCTCATAAAAAGGGGCTTTTGAAACATTCCAAACACTTTTTACTACATTTGTTTTCCAATTGAAAAGTTGTAACTCATAACTAAATATTAGCTTTGTAACAGAAAATGTCTTAAATATTAAGCACTTCTCTCACTTAAACTGCCAGATTTACCTACAAATAGAAACTCTCTTTAGCTATATATTATTTCAATTACAACATTCAACTACTTACCATTGATCTAAAGTAGGTTTTCATTGTGCGCCAGCGTTTGTCATTATCCCTCTCATAATTGCTGTCGGTGACATTACCAGAGTCCTCTTCATGCTCATCTAGCAACGGGGCTGGCTCAACTACCAGAAACTGCGCCCAAAACGATGGTGGCAATTGCAGCAGCATTCGCAGCACCTGCTGCCACACTATCACATTATTCAAATTCAAATCGAAATCATCGAATATTGTTGGTGCAAAAATGACTGCTATATTGACGATAGACATCTTAACAGCCGGGCTTCTGGCTACTCGCTGCCAGTGCAGCATGAGGAAGGCCAAGGTATCCCGATGGGCGGGTAGCATATCAATCATGATCTGATAGACTTGTTCCTCGGCTTCTAGCGGATCGCGCTGTTGGGCAGCCGCAATGAAGTCGCAACGTTGACAAACTGGAATCAGCGGACGCATCAGCTCCCTGAGAAAGTCCTTAATGCAACAACAAAGCGTATGGAGATCAATGCTGCCCAGATGTGGCGTTTCCTTGCCGCGCAGAAACTTCTGTTTCAGGCGCTTGCACTTGACTTTGGTCGATGATACGCGATAGAGACCCTCTTGCTGCAAACCTCGTGTCTCGATCTCAGTGACGCAATGCACTATGAGGGCGGGCACTCTTGGCGCCACGGTTGGCGCATAGTCGCTCAGGTGACCCCGTTTGCTGCTTATCAGGGGCTGGGGTATGCAGTTGATGGTCAGTTGGTGGCAACAGTCGGTGTGACAACGCAGCGGGCAGGCACGACAGCGCAAACTGGCGCCAGCAAAGCGAATGCTGTATAAATGAATGAATTGGGAAGGAATTAATAAATGCAATACATGGATTAAAAGATATTATTGAAATAATCGGCAAACAATCGTTGGTGCCACAGAGAATTCTTTCAATAAATGCGTATATACACTTTTAAAAAAGCTTTCAAAAAAAAAAAAAAACAATAAACACAATTGTAAAGGGAACGTTACTAATTTCCTTAAAAAATGATACTTGAAATATTCGATACAAATTCTATAAAATACGAACAAACTTTTAATCACTCTATATAGAAATTAAACCAAATACTCATTTAAATTTTTGGATTACGATGACCGTCTTCGTTTCAGCAAATATTCTGGTCAGCCTAACAGTTTGATTCCATTTAACTGCTAATGAATTATATTATCATTATTAATAGTTCACTTTTTAAAAAGATCGCTTTGCAAACGAAAAATAAATCGACAATAGTCTTTGAATTTTTTTTTAAGTTTTCTTCAGCAGCAACGTATATAGAAAGAGTTGATTATGACCGATGAGATGACCGTCTTCGTTTCAGGAAATATTCTGGACAGCCTAACAGTTTGATTCCATTTAACTGCTAATGAATTATATTATCATTATTAATAGTTCACTTTTTAAATAGATCGCTTTGCAAACGAAAAATAAATCGACAATAGTCTTTGAATTTTCTTTAAAGTTTTCTTCAGCAGCAACAGAGTATACGTACAGAAAGAGTTGATTATAAATTCGTAGTTTTTGGTGAAATGGCAGTTTAAAAAGGGTTTCATTTTATTTTAAAAATGTAATCACAAAAATAAAGTACAAGCTGATGTAAGCAGATTTGATTAGTTAATGAGAAACGAAGATAAAATAGTAAAGCTATTTGGAGTGTCTCTTGTTTGTTCAACAAGCTCAACGTTTTGTGACTGTCATGGATTTTTCAATCGTTTTTCGAGCCAAACCAATTCACGATCCAAGTGCATTCCAAGCTCCATCCCACCCGTTTACTTACCGCTTCTTGCAATGCACACAGCTGGCCACATTGTAGCATATCTTGACCTTGAAGTTGTGTTGACGCAGCAATGTGGTTGTGGCCCTCATCGATATTGGCATTCCATAAAAGCCACTGTGGTCCAAGGAGTCTATGGACGCACCATTCGGATTCATATTGATGCGTCGGTGCATCGAATCCATCGAAGGCATGCTATATAGTCGAAAGTGTGTACTGAGTTCATCATAGGACTTATAGTCGCGCACCATTCTCGTCTGCATGGCTCCAAAGTATTGAGGCAAATGAGAGGCAGTTTTGCTGAAGCCAACAGCAGTCCAAAACTACGACGACTGTTTTTCCCTAGCATGCTGCTTACTCAGCTGTTTAGCAACCAATAGGCCAGACACGCTGTCGTTATACAATTGCCCAACTCGTTGATTCTGACTCATTGGAACTGCACAATTCGGTTTGTCTGACCATGTTTGGTGTGCCATTGGAGCTCGACACAATTAGGTAGATCTTTCCGCTTGGTAACTTATTCAATTGTATTGCTATTTTAACTTTTTCTAATTGTAGCTGCTATCTGGCAAGGCAACACTGCGTATGGGTAATACGCGTATATATATATTTTTTAAAGTAAACAAACGCAGTGTGAATTTTAACTACCTTGGTGAGAAAGTTTATTTTAATTTTTGAGTAATGCTGATAAAAATATACATTAAACGAATTGCTTAGATATCACGGGTGCCGTGATTTGAAAATAATGATTCGAATTATTTACTTTTTCCCATACGGTAGGAGCTAGACTTTCTCTCATGTAGTTTGCTGTCCGAAATATGCCCAAATATTAAGCTGCATATTAGACATTTCGATGCTTTAAAAATGGGGAAAAACATATTGAACTATTCCAATATTCTCCACTTTTAAAGGGGTTGAATATTAGAAAAGCTCATGAGCATTGACATTTATTTTGTTTATAAACATAGAAGGATGGTTAATTTCCAACGGAAATTAATATTGAAGCCGAGCTGGATTTTACTTTGCAAAAGTCTACTTGTTGCAATAGAAACCACATTTATTATTTTGTTTTTGTTTTTTTTTCGATAAGGCTAGCGTTACAAGTCCGAGATTACTTATAAGTTATATTGGTACAATAAACATATTAAATAGATTGATTGATTTATTTTACTTAAAGAATATTGTCTTCAAATATTAGAGGTGATTGATTGATGATTGAGAGCTATTAATATCTCAGCCGCAACATTATTTTCAGTTATTTTATTATTTATCAACTAATAATTGTAAATTTGGTAAAATTTTTTTTTTGCCGAAGTTAACCGAGCAAATAACATCAGTTCTCAATTACAAAGAAGAAAACCTCAAAGCTTTTTGATTTAATTAAATTAAATCGTTTTTTACAGCTGTGTTTTTTTTTTTTTTTTTGTTGTAAGTCATTCTCAAATTATAGGCCACAGAAACTTAGACGAATGTTAAAGTCGTGCTAGTCCAGAATAAAAATTTGTTTGTACTATGATCTGTGTTGGCACCGAATATTGACTTCGTTTTATTCTAATCCACCGATTTAGATAAAAGACAATTTTTTTAAATTTACAAATATTTTTAATAGCTGTAAAGTGCTCATTAAAATAAGTAGATAGCATTTTATTTATGAAGAATAAATTATCCACATTCCAAAAACTAAAACGAAAAAGTCGTACGTATTGATAATTAATTGTAAGTCCGAACAAAAAAGATACGAACATTAATTGGAAATAAAAAACAATAGATTGCTATTCGCTTACTGTCTTTGAAGCAAATATGAGTTAAAAACAATCTTCAAGAAAGCAACGCTTTTACATAAATATTTCCAACAACTATTTACTAAATAAATAAATGTTTAGTTCTGTTCTCAAAAATATTTGTAATATTAGCATATTGATTGCAAGCTTTTGCGCAAGGCTATCTAAAATACAGTTTAAATGTGTTTAAATCATATACATACAAGTGTATATAATTAGTTTCCATTCAATCGTATCAGCTTATCAGAACTGGCATTTCTATAAATTTTGTGTCATAACTTCGCATAAAAGTTAATTTCAAACACCATTGCTTTCGATCTGTGCATATAAATCACATTTTTATAAATCCAACCAAATTCTAATAAAATTATTTCAACGACCCTCAACGATTCAATGTCACAATGAAAATCCCACATCTAACAAAGAAAATAAAACAAAATATCAGACAAAAACAATTGACGAAAGTATCAATGAATTCTAAACGCGCTGAAAATGGCTCAATAGCGATGCTAAATGCATGAAAAATTCATGGAGAAGCGTTTTGTGGCCAACACGAAATAAGGTAAAAAAAAATGCCCGAAAAACAAAACAAAATACACATGGCCGAAAAAAAGAGAAATGTTTGGTGTTAGATGTTCGCCATTGATATGTGGACTGTACATCAAAAAGCGAAAATGTTAGCAACGAATAGCGAGGGGGAAACAACACAGTATAGATGGTTTTGAAAAAAATACACACATACATACCAATGTATGGGAAATTTGTGTGGCCGAAATTCAAGCGGCTAAAAAATTCGTTGCATACTTGCAGGCGCAGCGTTTTACCGTCAATTTTTTAACGAAAGCTGGTCAAAGCGAAAAAGTGCAAAATTCGGGAGGTAGCTTGAGTGCGAACAAATGGAAGAGACAACAAAAGCAATAACAACAACAACAACAACGAAATTAACGAAACAGGCGCAAAAGGCAAAAACAGATGTGAAAAGAAACGGTCAACGAATTTGATTTTTATATTTTGTTGTCGTTTTTTAGGCGTCAGCTGCAGCAGCACCACACACACACACACACATACATACATATGTGTATGTACAGTGTATGTAAATGCACACACACACACACAACTCAATTCGTAGATTAATAAATGCACACACACATACACACATGTTGCTAGCTGTTGTTGCTGTGTTTGTATGTGCGTGTTAATAATTGCATTTGTATGCCTTTTCACACATACAAATAGATATACATATATGTATGTATGTGTATATGTGTTTCAAACTCCACAAACAGCAGTCACGCATCCCAATAAGCCCATGCAACCAGACATTCAAATATGTAGGCTTTGTGGACCAACCAGCCAACCAACCGACCCCTCCCACTACTACACTAGCCCCCACAAGTACCAACACTTTTTACACTTTTTAGCATTTGCCCGATTGTATATATGTATGTGTGTGTGCGTGTTGCATTTATTTCCCACCGTCCATTGCGTTGCAAATTCAAAAACAAAAACTGCAAAAAATGTTTGTGTGTGACAAAGCGAAAGAAAAAAGAATACAAAACATGCCACACAAATAAATAAACCAAAGCAAAATGCAAAACATGCATGCAAACTCAAAGGCAACAACAACAACACTAAAGAACAACAACAACAGGCAGGTTTTGGTTCGAAGCACACATTGCCAGTGTTGCCAAACATGGTGATAATTCAATTTTGAGAACACGTTGTTGGACTCAAGTGTGAAAATGGTCAACAATTAGTGGCATAATTGTTGCAACAAACTAAGTTTATTTTGCAAATAAAATAATTCGGTTTTCATAGCAACAATTTTCCTTACACTTACTATATTAATTATGTGCACTAACTACAAATTGAGGAATAACTTGAGTATTCTTGGCATATTCAACTAGCTTAAAATCTGTGAAAGAAAAGAATAATACGAATTATATAAAGATCTATATACAAATCGGGGTACCCCGAAGTACCTCGATGTTGAATGACAAAGAATTGATGTTAATAAAACTCAATTATTATATTTTTATTGAAAATTATTAAACATAAAGAAATACTGTACATATGCGAAGCATTCCCGCCAGAGAAAACATAAATCCTTATAACTAATATATAAAGAAGACATTTTTTTATTTTCCCAGAGGGACTTAAAAGTCATTTAGCAAAAGGTTCATGATTAGAACCCCCTAATAATATTTTCTAGCATTAGCTGCTGCTGGACTTTTTTTTTGCTTTTAACTTATAGAGGAATAATAATATTCAAAATTAATATAAATTATGATAGACAAATAAATAACAATATTTTATTTCTTAATATAATAAACAGGTGCTGCTCCATTAACATTTCTTATTTTATATAAGGAATGTTGGATTATTATTATTATAAATATTAAATATTAGAAGGATTAAATCAAACGATATCATACGATTATAACAGTATATTAGCCTCCTTTTTTATATCATGAGAATCATATTGAAAATATAACAATTCTATATCTCAACCCCGCAAATAATTCTGCATAGTCCAAATAAATCCAGCGCTCTCATCGCTTATAATAAAATATAATATATAATTATCATATAATAATTATAATAAAATGCACAGTATACTATTAACTAATATTTTTGCCGCCCAAAACAATGCATAATGCATAAGAATAATCATACAATATGAAATAAATATCAGTATGCTTCATGTGCACAATTAAAATTTTTTGAGAAGTAATTATTTATATGATGAATTAAACGAAGGTAAAAATATATTCAAATATGAATTTAATGAAATACAAATTCTGTTGTTAAAGAAAATTCAAGACCTATAAGCCTATACAACAAAGTTATAACTGCATATTTATATATATATATATTGCATATTTTTTTAATTGTCTAAAAATTTAAATGGTTTTACTTAATAACAATAAGAATTGATGATTGCCGAATATTCACAACATGACGACTTAAATAAATATTTTTACTTAGTTACTACACCTTTTTCCAGCTTGCGTACTTATAAAGCTTACAGCAACTTTTTAAGACTTCTCCAACTTAGACTTTCTACGTCTCTTAGCTTATTTCATTTTACATATCCATTTTAAACATTTTTGACGTTTTTTAAAGTACACACACACAAAATCTAATTTACCTTTGATTGTAAGTACTACATAATATGAAAAATCGACCATAGTTAATGTCAATTGATTTATTGTGGATTAATTTAAAAAATGCAATTATTTTGATACAAATCTGCATTGAAATGAATTATCATAATTATTATTTATTTATTTAGAAACTTTAAAATTTGAAATAAATCGAATTGTGTTTTAATCAAAACGTTCATTTATATTTTCTACATTATATTGAGCCCATAAAACGAATTCCCCATATTTCTGCATACCCTACATAAAGCGGACACAACCACACAAACGCAATCGCTAAATGTCTAACCCAATTCCAAAGCAACG